TGTAACAGAGGAGGAAAGGGTATGTACTGAAATAATATAAGGGTTTTTTTTTAATGGAGAGAAAGAGTAGATATTGGAAAGGAAATCACCAGTCTCAGCTAAGCTTTTGTGTTAGAATTGTTTTATACCAAATTCAGGGAGGTTAAATCACAAAAGGTCCTATAAAAATAGGATTCAGATCCAGGTCTTTTGCACTGCGAAGCCTGTGTGTGTACTTTCTGCTGTACAGCTGGTCCCAGCATCAGAAAATAAAAGCTGGTGCTGACTTCAGGAGCGAGGCAGTCTCCCTCCTGCCCCAGCCGGGCCTTCTGTCAGGCATCTGAGCTGTTTATTAAGTTATGATTAATGGCGCTGCGAGGCACCGAGGGCCGCACGCTCAGATCCAGTTTTGGATTGTTAGAGGAGGTTCAGGGATAAACAGCAGATTCAGATTCTGTGCTGAGGAAATTCAGCCGCAGCCCTTTTGTCTTTCTGAGCACTGGGATCAGTGAGGGCTTCTGCTGGGCCGTGCTCTGGCTTAATAGAAACGAATCCTCCAAACCAGGCAGACTGTTTTGGGAAAGTGGCTCTAATGGAGCCCCATGGGGCGGGGCCAGGCCTGAATGGGGCAGTTTGCATATTCAGTTTTACAAACAGTTGGCTGGGAGTCAGCGGCTAATGGAATGGGAATGATGTTCCTGTACCAAGTCATTTCCTGAAAAAACATTTCCAATTGCAAACATATCTCAGCCTTTCTTCTTGGGTTTGTTATGTCTCTGTGAGTGAATTAAAGAGGCAAGGCGGAGGGAGGGTTTCTGACTACAGCTTTTTTCATCTGAAAACCTTTTTAACAAGGATCTCCATGTAAAAGGAGATTCCGTTCAGATCCACCTTTAGGAATCCTGGCTGTGAAGATTGCTTTTCTAGCCACACTCAAGAGATGTTTAAATACTTTTTTTTATATTTGCAAATTGGTTCTGGCTGTCCAACAATCTTGGGACAGATGCGGCTTTTCTTCTCTTACAAAATGTAAGCTGGAAGTGCTGCCCCAGATACCTGCATATGCGAGGGTTGGTCTAAAAAGTAAATGCATTTTTCCCCTGGGGACAAGCTAAAATCCTTCCATCCTGTAAACCATTTTGGCAATTTCTGCCTCCACGCATAACCCATGCAGATGAAGAGTGGTCTTAACATTCTGATTATTTATTTAGCAAATATTTCTCGGGTGCACACTATGCTCGAGGTATTATTTTCAGCAATAATAGCAGGTTATAATAACAGCAACATAAATTTACACAGCTCTGACCAGGCACCAGGCACATTTCTGAATGCATAGGTTAACTCGTTAATCTTCCTAGGAACCCTAGGAGGTTGGCCATATTATTATCACTCCCATTTATGTAGGTGAGGGAACTAAGACACAAGAGGCTTGTAAACTTGCCCAGGGTCACATGGCTAATATGTGGCAGGCCCTGGATTTGAATCTACGCCATCTGGCTCCTAACCACTGTACATCTGGCCTCTTTGGGATCTAATAATGAATAGAAGATAAAAAGTACCAGTTCTCCCAGAACTTGGGAGGCTGAGGCAGGGGGATTATCACAAGTTCAAGGCCAACCTGGCCTACACAGTGACTTCAAGACCAGCCTACATTATATAGCAAGACCCTGTCTCAAAAGACAAAAAAAAAAAAAAAAGTACCAGCCCTTACTCAGCTTATCTTCTGGGAGTTGGGGTGGAAATAGATAACAGATATAGCAATAATAATTATTTCAAATTGTGATGAGTCTTACCAAGAAAATAAAACATGAACGGCAAACAGAAGGCTAATCAGAGGGTCTTGTAAGTCACTGTACAGAGTTAGGGTTTATTCTGAGTGTGATGAATAGCCACAGAAAAGTTGAAAGCAGGAGAATGTGTAATTCTATTTACATCTTACTTTCACTATGCCAAGTAGGTGGGGAAATGCAAGAAAAAGTAGTAGGCCCCAGAGACGGAGGTTCTGGTGATCCAGGTGAAACAGAACGTGGATTTGAACCAAGATGTGGTCAGGAGATGGCAGGCGTGGTGAGGGCCTGGTTTAGAGGTAGAACCTAGAAAACTTGCCAATATATTACGTGCTAAAGGTCAGGAAAAAGGAGAACTTCATGATGCCTTGGATTTTTGGCTTGAACCATTGTTCAAACAGTGGTCCCATCTAGAAGGACAGGGGTGGGAAAGAACAAGTCTGTTTTTGTGCTGTACAGTGGTATGAGGGTGTTGGAAATTACAAGTTCTGCTTTGAGACCTCTGTTAATAGCCTTACCAGAAGGCACTGAGCGAGCAGTTAAAGTTCATAAGCCTGCAACCCAGGGTCAGGTCTGGGCTGGAGTTTTCCATGTGGACATCCTCAGCATTTAGATAAATGGGCTTCCACACCATGCAGGTGAACTTCCTGTGACGTGGGAAAAGCTCCATGCCTGTCCTATCCAGGACAGAAGGCATCAACACACTCAGGCCACTGGGCACTTAAACTAAGGAACTGAGCATCTATTTCACTGTAACATCAGTGGCACAAGTGGCTAGTGGCTGCTATACAAGACAGCACAGACCTGCAGGGAGAGCATAGCTAGAAGAGAGAAAGTCCGGAGTAGCCACAAGCTTCTTCCCAAGCTAGGAGCTCAGCCTTGCATTCATATTTAAGACAACTTCACTTCTGCTGCTCATTGTGTGCACAATTGTGTGTCCTGGGCATGATGGGGCCTGTAATCCCAGCAACTCAGGAGGCTGAGGCAGAAGGAACACAAGTTTAAGTCCAGCCTGGACAACTTAGTGGGACCCTATTTCCAAAACAACAACAAAAAAAGGTTATATCTCTTTATGAGAAATAGCCTGGAAAAAGAGCAATCTACTAGACTTAGAGGACATTAGAAGAGATTATAGGAGTATAGGGACACAGGTGTACTTAGCTAGAAAATAAATGCAATCTCTTCCTTCCAAAATCATTAAAGCTTTGAAGTTGTCAACTATTACCTTTCTATTGTATTTTGTGGACAAGAATTTTACAGAATGCTGGATGTCTGTGAATCTGGAGATTCGAGAGTCCCTGGGTGATGTGCCACATGCTTGTCCAGTGCCTGCTAAGGGAGTGAACACCAGTGCCTGCTTTCCCCTCTCCGTGAAGCAGGCTCATTCCCTATCCAGCTGCAGCTATCAGTGAGTCTGTTGATTTGAAAGAACTCTTTGTAACTGGCTGCCTGTGCTTAAGAGTCCTTGCAAACCTATGCTGGCAATCAGGGAGGCCTGAGTCAATAAAAAGAAAAAAATTAAATGGAAAGATGGCCCACTGCTTTTATTAAGGTTGGTGGCAGCTCCCATATTAGCTCCTTGAGAACCTCTTGGTGACCAACGCCTTCAGCAAAAATGGTCTTTCTGTGCTTAATTGGAGAAAGTAAGAGGCTGTGAGCTGGCTCTCAGGCGGGGTAATCCGAGGTCAGCACTCAGCTGGTGCCCATCGCACAGTAGGGTGGGTGGTGGGGATTTTTTACCAGGGCTCTTTGCGGGGGACAGGGGGTGCTTGTGGAAGAGCAGGTTGCCCGGGCTTGTGTGGTCATTGACCCTTTTCAATGTTGCTTGAGGAAAATGGAATTGTAAATTTCTAGGACTTGAAAAGTGGTTGCTGGTCATCGGGGAGAGCTATTCATTTTCACAGAGGAAACAGACTTGGAGAGGTGAGATCGCCTGGCCCTAGGCCCCACAACCATGAGAGCTCACCAGCCTGGGCCAGAGCCAGAGCGAGGATCCGGACAGGGAGGTCCTGATGTGGTGCCTGTGTGGGGGCCAGAGGGGTGCCAGGGGAGCCAGACCAGAACAGCAGTCTGGAGGGGTGAACAAGAGGAGGGCTGAACTGAGGTGGCAAGGCTCATACTAAACCCAGCCTGGACGGAAGCATGGGGAGAAGGCGGAGGCGTCAGAGAGAAAGCGATGCTCGGGCCGGGGATATAGCTCAGTGGCATAAGTACCTGCCTGGCAAGCGCAAGGTCCTGAGTTCGATTCCTGGTACAAAAAAAAAAAAAAAAACATTAAAAAAATTCAAGATTTAAACTTGAAAGAGTTAATTTAAACTCGGAGGTATGATAGACACTGTGAAATGATAGGAAACCACTGAAGAGTAAAGGGCTTCTGGGATGTGGGAAAAGAGAAGGGAAAGAAGGAGAAATTTTGTATGTATGTATATACAGGATAGTTAACATGGTTGTTCTTCTGTCTTCTATTTCTATGCTGAAAGAAACTGTCAATGAGTCTTTGGTTGACCAGTATTGCATGTCTATATCTGTTTTCATGAGAAGCCACTTTGAAGGTATCAATATGTAATACAACCACCATTGTTAATTCCCTACCACTTTGTTTGTAACTCTGTATTGTCTGTATTGTGCTTGTGATATGTTGTAAAATGTTGTATGTCTGTTAATGTTTCCCTCCTTTTATCTTTAAAATTAAAAAAAAAGCGATGCTCACCCCACTGCCATTCTTCCTGAGATCTTTTCTGGGGGGAGGTGGATTTCTGTACTGGTGAGGCCTCCCTTTACCTTTTTTTTTTCTGTACTGGGGATCATTGTACCCATGCAGAAAATCTGCAGTGCAGATTTTTATTTTGAAATGGGGCCTTACCAGGTCACTAAATGGCCCAGGCTGGGCTTGAACTTGAGACCCTTCTGCCACAGTCTCCCAGAGTGCTAGGGTTATAGGCCTGTGCCACCAGGCCCAATGAGACCTTCTCACTTCCATTCCCTGGAAATCCAGGGAAATGACAGGCAGAAGAGGTAAGACGAAGAGAGTAATTAGGTCGTTTTAGCAAGGAGGAGCCACAAATCAATCACCAGCTGGGTAACGGCTGTGATCTAACCTTGATGGGGCTTTTCCTCAATATCGGTATCAAACACGTGTGTTTTCACAACGTACTGTACTGCTTTCCTCAAGCACAGACCCAAGCTCCCTGTGGTCAGTCGGCTCGAAGTGACCAGTTCTTCCTTGTCTTTCAGTCTCAGAGCTTCAGGAGGAGGGCATGAATGCCATCAACCTGCCCCTCAGCCCCATCCCCTTCGAGCTGGACCCGGAGGACACCATGCTGGGTAACTGCCTCCTGCGCCTTCGCACGAGCTTAACACTTCCCTGCAAAACCACGCCACTCACTGCTTTTTCTTTTTAAAGAGGAGAATGAAGTGCGGACCATGGTGGATCCAAACTCACGCAGTGACCCCAAACTCCAAGAACTGATGAAGGTGAGAGGCTGGGAGAGGCTTTCTGGTCAACCCCATTCAGCAAGTATCTATGGAGCAACTGTTTTGTGCAGTCACAGCAGTCCTGCCCTCAGGCAGCTCGTGGTCAGTAGATGGCCATCTGACCTGACCAGTGCCCCTTGGATAGTGTTGGTCATAAGCACTGGAGAAGTCAGGACCAAGGAGCTCACACTGGCCAGGACCTGAGCATTCACAACATACTGTACTGCTTTCCTCAAGGACCCTCAAAAGTGCCCTGTGAGGTAGTGTCATCCCCATTTTCTGGATGAGGAAATTCTGCCTCAGGCTTCTAAGAGGAGGTAGATAAGTATCCCTTCTATTTCCAGCCTACATCTGTGCCTTACTCTAGAGCCGAAGGAGGTAGCAGAAAGAAGGTGGCCAGGGTTGGAAGCCCTGCAGCCCTATATGCTGGGCCCTAATCTGAGCCCATGGGTGGTCTGGCTTGTGCATGTTCGACATCTGGCCCTTTCCTGGTGTTACCAGTGCTGCACTCACACATGGCTGCTCTGGTCTGCTAGGACTCTGAGCCTCACCTCGCTGTACAGGCAGAAGCGGGACAGCTGTGGGTTGAGGCTCTGCCTGGCACTGTGCTCCTCAGGGAGTTGGGCTACGGTGAGCAGGAGCCCTGCACAGGGTCCACCCTTGGGCTGCCCCGTGCTGCTGCCTGCCTGGGAGACCTCCAATGGGAGACCTGGTCAACGTGGTCTCTGACCGGCTCAGCCTCAGCACTGGTCTCCCCTACCAGACCTGCCCCTGGGCTCAGTTTCACAGAGAAGGGTTTGGAGACACGCACTACTGCAGGTACACCTGAGCCCTCGGGCATCGTCCAAGGCCGTAGTGTCACCCTGCAGGTGACTGCCTCGCTGTCAGGGAGAGCTTTGATGTTTTCCACATCTTCGCTGCTTTGTCCATCTTTAAATACTATCTTTGGGGTCCACTCGTACTCTGTTTTTAAGAATCTCCTCCAATGAGATGAGTGCCCCTCTGCTTCCCCTTAGTACCATGGACTCCCCAGTCCTGAGATGGGGACTTCATTTCACTCCCCCCACAAGCCTCTCCAGGACAGGCCAGACTGGGTATTACTGTGCTGGATACAGGCTGTTCCTGGTACACAGTACGTACTCGTAATTACCACCACTCTGTCTCGAGACAGGGCTCCTCCATCAGCTCTTAGGGAGAGAGAACTGTTCTGCCTCGGGGTTGTGCTAAGAACCACGCAACTGTGTAGTGATCAGAACTCATCCCTTTATGCATAAAACTGGTTCATTTGGGCTATAGTTTAGAGCTGAAGTGACCCCTCCCCAAAACCTCATGCACTCAGAGGCGAGACCGTTGGAAGGTGAGTGGATCATGAGGTGCTGTGGCTGACTTACTGTTGGGAGGCGGGGTCAGGTTGGCAGAGGCAGGTCACTGAGGGCATGGCTTGGAAGAGAATGTCCCTTCATGGCTCCTCCCTTTGCTGTCTGCTTCCCGGCTTCCATGAAGTAAGCAGTTTCTCCTCCCCGCAGCCCCTCTGCCCTCCCGTCCTGCCTTGAGGCTGGCCAGCCATGGACTGAAACGTGAGCCAGAGTAAACCTCTGCTCGTTTAATTTGTAGGTGTTGATATTGTGGCTCAGCAATAAGGAAAGTGACTAAGATGACTTGATTTTATATAAATACTATCTTAGTAAAGACAAAGGAAAATTAAAAAGCAAAGTAGTATGCAAGCTAAACACCGGAGCTGGTGATACATGCCTCCCGAGGGCGTTGTGTACGTTAATGAAATGGAGCATCACAGGCAGTGCCTCCACTCGGTGCCTGGCACATGCAGGCCTCGGCCAGTGACTGCTACTGAGGACCAGGAGACCAGGGACCCTCTGCTGTCTCTAGCTATGAGCTCTGTGACCTTGAGCAAGCCTGTTTCCTTCCATGCTGACCAGCCCTCCTGAGCATGGGGGATACCTCGTCAACTGTCCTCATGAGAGGACACTTCACATATGAATAAGACTGCTTTTAATCACCTATTACTTGGTAACTCTTTTCTACCACCTATGTGGGCGATGCTTTCATCCTGATTTGGAGATAGGGAAGCAGAGGCTCAGGAACATAGATCACAGGGCTACCCAGACCCAAGTTCATAGAGGACAAATAGGTGCACACACCATAGGTCACAGAGGAGTGGACACACACACACAGATGCCAGAGGAATACACACATATACACACATACACACACACACATACACACACACATCAATGAAGTGGCACCCAGAGCAGCGCGTGCGTAGAGGTGGGTTTTAACCCATTTGTGTAACTCGAGAGCCCGCCTACCTTGACAGTGTTGTTTACTGTTAGGGAAAAAGCAATGGGGCCAGAAGAGATCAGCAGAGGCACTGACGCTGCCAGCCCCTGAGGGCTGACACCCAGAAACACACAGGGCCTCCAGATTCACCCTGTGACCTGCCTGCCTATGGCACTGGGTCCCCTGGATCACTGCTGTCTTTAAAGGGCAGTGCATTTAGGTCCTAGTTGTCCAGGTTACGAAAGCTAGTCTATAAGAAAATACCTTGTGACTCTTCTGTTTTCTCTCTCCATAGGTGTTAATTGACTGGATTAACGACGTGCTGGTTGGAGAGAGAATCATTGTGAAAGACCTGGCTGAAGATTTATACGACGGCCAAGTCCTACAGAAGCTCTTTGGTAGGAGCGCGTCAAGCGTGGTGTGGATGGCCACTGGGTCCCAGCAAGGCGGGCGCTGCGCTCACCGGGACGGGGCTTGAGTGTGACAGTCACAGAGCAGTGAGGGCTTCGGGATCTGCTTTACATGAGGAGATGCAGAGTGAGTCTGATGACCAGATGGGCCTGCGCCCCCTAGGAGTCCAGGGTCATCTTCTGGGTAAATGAAGAGTCCACTGTATCGTCGGACAACAGGCCTCCCCTGTCTGGACAGTTGTGCTGTTGTGCCCTCTCTAGGTGTATTTACACGTGGGGTGTGTGTGTTTTTAGGCTCTGTCATTCATGGACGCGTGCGTGCCCTGTGACCCATGGCTATGTGTGCATATCCCTCTGTTGTCTGAGGACTGTGTGCCTGTATATGTCCTCCTGTGACCTGTAGATACCTGTGTATATGTCCTTCTATGATTCTTGTATGTATAAGAGTGTGTATTCCTCTGTGATTTATGGATACATATGCATGTATGTGTCGCTCCATGATTTATGGTCCTGTGTGTGGCTGTATGTGTGTCCCTCTGATTTATGGACCTGTGTGTATATGTTCCTGTGATCTGTGTGTATAGTGTGTGTGTGTGTGTCCCTCTGTGACCTATGGAAGTGTGTGGGCCTGTGTGTGTTTCTGTGTCCTCTGTGGAGTGTGCATGTCTATTCCTCAATGGTCTGTGGACCTGTGTGTGTCCTCTCTGGTCTGGGTGACAGTATGTGTGAGTATGTATCTCTGCCCCTGTGTCACCTCTGTGCAGGTGAATATGTACCCTTGTGTAGCACAACTGTTGATGTGAAAATGTAAGGCCAGAGAGGACAGAAAGGAGAATTCAGGAGTGACCTCTGTGTGGAAAGGATAAATCCATCTTGAACGAATGGGGGTTTCCTCACTGCCCCAGACCTCCCCGCAAGTCCTAGACTGCGGTCTAGCTGCCCACCAGCTGCCTTCCCCTGGATGCCTCTAGGCTGAGCTTATCTACTCTTCCAAAGGTGCTTCCTTCCTCTCCATGCCAATCTGTCCTCGTGGATTACAGGTCCAAAGGCCCATTTCTTCTTGCTTAAAAATCTCTCCTCAATCCATCCCTGTTGCCAGTTTCACTGTCTGGTTTGCCTTTGTCTCAACTGTTGAAAAACCTTCCAACTTTACTTCCCATCTCAGCTCGTCTGCTGTGTTGCCTCTGCAGCTGGCTGACAAATCTTCTAAATTCCAAGTCCAGTCTTGCCAGTCCTACCTGAGAACTGTTCAGTTCCCAGACCACATCCAGACCCTTCAGTGTAACATTCAGAGCATTTTACCCTTCCAACACCAGCAGTCTGCACCCTCACCTCCGCCATTCCCATGTATGTGGTTCTTGCCATGTGGCGATGTATGTAAAGCTCTCGGAACAGTGCCTGACACCTGGTAGATGCCAGTAAGTGTCCGGTACCACTGTTGTGGGTTTTACTATTATGTCCTCCGTTGCTACAGAATTTTATGCGCCATGCAGATTCATACGCTGATACTCTCGCCATGCTCTTCTTTCTGCCTCTACCACCCTTCCTCCTTTGTCTACTCAGGAAAATCCTTCTTGCTCATCCATCCAATCTTATGCGCCTCCCTTTGAACCCAGTACAGTCACATCCAGAAGAGACAGTCAAGTACCTTTCTATGTTTACCACCCCCATATACATAGCTGAGGAGTACACAGCCTATACATGTGCATATGTCATATATGCAGGTGTCTGTGTACACACACACACACACACATACACACATACACAGGTTGAGCATCTCTAATAGGAAAATCCAAAATGCTCCAAGTGCTGAAACAAGTGGAAAATTCCACACACCTGATCCTATGTGATGAGTTGCTCTCAAAACGTCGGGGCACCAAAAATATTTTTTAAAATTCCTTTTCAGGCTGTGTAAGTACCATGAATGTATGTGAACCATAAGTGAATTCTGTGTTTAGACTTGAATGCCATCGTTAAGTTATCCCATGTATGTGTATATGTATGTGCATGCATGTGAATATGCAGATATTCCCAAATCTGAAGAACATCTGAAATTTGAAACTCTTCTGGTCCCACACATTTTGGATGAGAGATACTTGACCTGCACAAATGCAGATCTGTACACACACACTTATAGTACATATATGTGCCTTGCTATCAGACTTTCCATGTTGCTTATAGCTGTTTATATAAATGCATGTGGGCTTCTCAAGGTCATGAACCCCATGTTATTTATTTATCTAGGCTTCTCCAGCAGTAAATCATGTATATTGAATGAGTGAATGAATGGCTAATATAAAATCTAGTAATTTCTAGGAAGCTAACCTGATTTGGTATTCAAACATCAATATTAATGAGTGTTAATATTTAAATGTTGTAAACTCCAGCTGAATACAGAATGGAGAGGAACAGGCTTTGGCACATGGAGGTGTGAGAAGCCGTGAGCCTCACTGAGCATGTCCCCCAGTGATACGGCTGTTAACCCCTCCAGCAAACTTCTAATCCGGATCTGAAACTGTCTTGACATGTTCCGTGCTAGGCTTTCAAAGCAAGAATAGCGCAAGGTCCCAGAGTAATGAAACACAGTCGTGGAGCCACCTAGTCTCCAGGAATGGTGACAAAACAGCCCAGCATCACTTCGGTGTGGCCCCCAACCTATGATCAGATTAAGATTATTTCAGACTACAGCCTTTGTGTCAAAAAGGCAATTCACTGCACAGCTCGTGCGTCTTCTGTGAACTTAAACTTGGACCTATACAGGTGTAAGGATGGACATACACCTCTGAAACCCATAAGCGGGATACCCAGAAAGAAAAAAAAATGGTTTGCAGTACATTAGGAGCTCCTGGGAGGGCCCAGCCTAGAGACAGAGTTTTGAGCAGCCTCTGTGACCTGGAGTTCCCCTGCAACTATTTTAGTGTCTCCCTTCTTCTGTAACCAAGCTTCTCCAAAGAGCATTTAGCATTCCCTATATCTGCCCGTCTTTCCGCTGGCTTCTGCCAAGATCATCAGTGCCAGTTCAGACTGGCATCACAGACTCTTCGGGAGGCACTGTCCCCTTTTCCAGCCAGGTAGTGTCCGGGCCTCATCCTGTCCTAGTTCTCATCCACCTCTCACACCCACTTCTCCGTCTTCTCCACATGCTCTTCCTCTTCCCATCATCGTTGGGTTTTCCCAGCTTCCATCTCAGCCCTCTTCTCTTTCCTTCATCCCTGCTTCCCCGGTGATGCCATCCACCAGGGGTGATGTCATCAGTTTCTGCCATCACCTCTGCGATAGCCACTCTCAGATCTCTACCTCAGCAAAGGTATTCTGTCAGAAAGCCCAGGGTGATTGTTTAACTGCCTTCCAGACATCCCCACCTGGATGCCCCGCAGCCACCTAGTAACCAACCTGCCCCAAACTGAGCTGCGTATCTTCCTCCTTCCCACCACATCCATTCTGCTTCCCATTTCATTGGCTGGGGTTACCACCACATGGTCACTCGCTCAAATGAGAAACTTAGGAGTCTTCCTGAATGGCTCCCTCTCCTTCATTCCTGCTACTGTTAGTCACAAGTTCTGACCTATATAAAGTGCATCAAATCCACCCCATTTGCCAATCAATTAGTACAGCGAGAACCCTTTTAAAAAGTGCCTGGAACCTTACGAACTAGATTTGGTTGTTACCATTATCCTCCAGCCCTGCTATGAGCCTCAAAGTTTAGAAGTTCTCATTCTTCTTAGCTTCTTTGGTTCCCAAATCCTTTTCTCTGTGTCATTCTGCTCCCTGCCTTGGTAACATTCTGAAGGTCTTCCAGACAGTGGTACTGGAATCAAGATGAAGGGATTACAGTCTGCATCACAGACTTCATTCAGATTTTACCAGCCCTTAATGCGATGTCTTTTTCTTTTGGCTCTAAAATCTAATCCAGGATCTAACGCATTCGTCATCAAATCTCCTTTGTTGCCTTCAATTCACAACAGCTCCGTAACCCTTCCATGTCTAGCATGAGTGCAGTACTTCTGAAGGGTGTTGGTCAGGTATTTTGTAGAACAGCCTTGTAGGACTTGTCTGATGCTCTCATGACTAGGGTAAGGCTATATACTTTGGGAGGAATCCCACACAAGTGAAATTCCCTTCTGTGTGCTTTGTATCTGAAACTACAGATTAAGGGTAGCCCATGCAGGAAATAGAAATCTCCAAACTGCATTCCTGCGGTATCCAAGTGTCTTGGTTACTTTTCTCTTGTTGCTGAGACAAAATACCCAACACCCAAAATTAAGGAAGGAAAGGTTTATTTAGCTCACAGTTCGCGGAGGTTTCAGTCCATACCCTGCTGGCTCCAAGGCAGTGTGACACATGGCAGAGGGCAACAGTTCATGGCAGCGGGAAACAGCAGCAAGAGCAAAAGGGAGGAGAGCAGGTGAGGAGAGCAAGCGTCTTTCCCTCCCTTACATTGTATGCAAGCTACCCGCCCTAGGTTGGTGTAGCACTCACACCCATAATTCCAACATTGGACCATGAGTCAGTCAAAAACTCTAGAAGCCCACCTAATGGTTGCATGAGGTTTTGAGGGGACATCCAGACACAAACCATAACACTGAGAAGGACAGAGCCTCGGGCTGGCACTGGGAACTGCCACTGTGCTGGGAACTGGCTGCAGGTGAATGCAGGGGGCCAGCACTCAGAAGGGGCATCAACACTATTCAGAGGGACCAGAGAGTACAGCAGCCTCTGCTGTGGTGACCACTTCTCCTGACACACTGTTTGTGGCTGTTGCCAGGGAGACACCAGGTGTTGGCCTGCTTCTTCATGACATGTATCCCATCATGTCATAGGGACAACACTAACCCTTTCTATACTTCAAGCAAGCACCCTCGAAAGCCCAAAATGAGGTGGAAGTGCCTCCTCCCCCATGCCAAAGATTCACTTTCATTCTTGTCCCTGGATTACCAGTTTCTAGGGTGACTGATGGAGAAAACAGCCTCGGTTCCTCTAGAGGCTAC